AATGATTGCCCTTTGACCTTTAATAATGTGTGGATGCACCCTGATGTGCTACGCATTCTCCAACGCGCCTAGGCATGCTTCTGATCAGGTGGTCAATGTCCTCCTGTGGTATCTCATTCCAGGCAACCACCAACTCCTCTCAAAGTGCAAAGAGGAGGACGTTGCAAATTGAGCAATCTCCTACCCATCATATCCCACACGTGCTCAATTGGGGATAAGTCGGGAGATCTTGGTGGCTATGGTAACAATGTGACATCATTATGTTGAAAGAAGTCTATTGTGACTCTTGCAACATGTGTTCGGGCATTATCTTGTTGGAAAGTTGGATCTGCCAGGGTGTCAAGATAGGGTAAAAGATGGGGTTCTAGAACTTCGTGGATATAACGCTGCGCGTTCATGTTACCTCTGATGAAGATTAAAGGTGACATGGAAGGGAGGACCCAGTGTGGCCACCAACTCCTCTCGAAGTGCTTCTAGAGCCTGAGGAGGACGTTGCAAATTGAGCAATCTCCTACCCATCATATCCCACACGTGCCCAATTGGGGATAAGTCGGTAGATCTTGGTGGCCATGGTAACAATGTGACATCATTATGTTGAAAGAAGTCTATTGTGACTCTTGCAACATGTGGTCGGGCATTATCTTGTTGGAAAGTTGGATCTGTCAAGGTGTCAAGATAGGGTAAAGGATGAACATGGGGTTCTAGAACTTCGTGGATATAACGCTGCGCGTTCATGTTACCTCTGATGAAGATTAAAGGTGACCTGGAACCATAAGCTATAGCACCCCAAACCATAACTCCAACAGTGTGATGAACATGTCTTTCAACAAAAAACTGTGGATTCCTCCTTTCACCACGTCGCATTCTAACCCTGGCACGACCATCGTGCATGCCTAAACAAAATCGAGACTCGTCACTAAAGACAATATTGCTCCATTCCTGATGCCAGAGTGACCGTTGTATGCACCACTCAAGGCGATTACGTCGGTGTTCTCGAGTTAAAGGGAGGACCCAGTGTGGCCGGTATGAAAACAAGCCAAAACTTCTCATTCGTCGGTAAACACTTCGCATGCCAATAGGTCTTCCGTGTTCTGCAAACCATTCATTTGCAATGGACCTGGTAGTGGAGAAACGGTCCCTTAAGGCCAATAATCTTAGGCGGCGATCTTCACGGTCTGTTGTTCTACGGCGGCATCCAGTGCCCCTTGCTCTTTGCGTACGGCCTTCTCGAAGCCATGCCTGACAACACCTAACCACAGTGTCTACACTTTTTTGCACTCTAACTGCAATTGCCCGAAAAGAAAGTCCAGCTTCCCGAAGTCCCACTATACGGCCCCTATCAAGCTCACTAAGTTGTCGAAATCGTACAGGTCTCCGTACTCTAGGCATCGTAACCGATCGTAAAGGATGTCAAGAACCAAAATCCGCCAACGTTGATTCTTTACTGCGGCTGAAATATTCATTTTTAGAGCGTTAGTGAATTAAAAAAAAGCAGTATAAAAACCGGAATGTCCAACTGATAAGGCTGAAAAATTTTTCACTTGTTATTTACAGTAAGATAAATACATTCACCAACTTTTATTAAAATAAAACTATTTAAACTGGGTGTTCGGATTTATATGTCACTTAGTATTATGTTGATAATTTCCTGAAATGAAATGTTCCATATTTTATTATATATTCGGTTAGATCCTTCCATAAGAAACTTATCGTGTTGACGATTCCATTTAAAAAAAATGTTCCAATATACGATTTTTATGCATTAATTTCACTAAGTTTAAATAGGCATGACCTTTCTGCAAATCATTGATGTGGCTTCATTTCGATGATAGAACCCGACAAGCTTCTGCCTGGTTACGTTTTGCACTGGCAAGTCTATTCTACTTGCTGTTGAAAGGCGTAAGTAACTTTCCGAAGTTTTATTTCGGTACGCGGTGAAGATCTATGAAATTTTTTCGTGGTACAGCATATTTTTATTTTTTCTAATTAATTACACCGCACACCGCTCCAATCAACGTTTAACGTGGCAAGTTTGCATTTTAGCATCAAAATACATAAGATATGACTAGTTTTTATCATACCATCTCAGTACGCAATGTAACCAAAATGTTGCGGTTGGCTCTTGGACCCTATTTAACTAAACGGATTGAACTCATTGTTTGCAGTTCTGTTTTCGTATTTCAGGTACGGTCCAGGTTAACTTCTTTTTGTGCCTACATCACACATTCAACCTTGTGCTGCTTTTTACTCATTCTTTCGCTTAGTTCCTTTGGTGCTTTTTGACAGTCCAAGCGAGATTCTGGGCCCATACTTTCTTGCAAGCACATGTCTTTTCATATCATTACTATTGTAATAAGCATATTAGCACCTCGTTAAATTAAAGGAACCCGATAACCGTATCGGAAAACACATGTTCTGGGTGTCACTACAGAAAAGTTTATCGAAGTTTTGTAGGCTTTGATGTGTGTAATTATTAAAAGTCGGCAAAAGTAAAAAGCAGTTGATAAAGGACTAGGATTTCACTGTTGATCGAAGGTAAAAATTTCATTGAAGTAAAAATCTAGTAAAATATCTTTCGGGCGTGAAAAATTATTAAATTATAGTTGTATATAAAAAAAATAAAAATGCACCGGATACAAAGCCAGCGGTTATATATGGTTGGTTAAGAACCGGCATATTTTCTTAGAACGCGCGAGTAAGAAATAATGACTTCCCTTGTAAAGAAATTTCGCTTGTATGGTTCGGTGAGGATTTTTTAGAGCGTTTCCGACACTAAAGCTCCGTTAGAAATCTGAATACACGTTCATATAATAGGCATAGTTTCGATTTCTTGAATGGACTTGCAATTAATTGTACATGCAACGTTTTCATTCTTTAAGAACAAATGATATAAAGTGGCTGATATATTGATTCACTGATTTGTTTCTCGGATATGTCATTGTCGCATTGCTAGAGGAATAAATGTCTTGTGTATAATGTTCTCAGAACGTTTGATCTCCCCTTTAAGTGATGTGATATGGCACCCAAGATCACCCGATTCAAAGACCCTAGACGTATTTCTTCGATGGTTTATAAAAATAAAGTATATACCAACAAACCAGCCACTGTAGATCAGCTGAAAGTAATATTCGATAAGCTACTCAAAACATTCTTTCCGAAATCTACCAGCAGCGGTGAAAAACGTAATCAAGCCAAGAACACGCACCTCTCAGGTGTGTGCAGCTTCCACGTGTGGCCATTTATGTGATATCATTTTTTTTTTCGTTACTACTTCAAAAAAAATGAGGAAAAACGAATCCATTTCATGAAATAAGTCAGTCAGATACGGTTAAAGTTTACAGGATCAGCAAAGAGTAATTGCGGTTCCGTATTTAAGGCGTATGAGAAACGCATACACGAGAGGTCAAATGTGTTGAATGTTGAATCACCAGTTAACGAACATACTATGAGTTCATTCAAACTAGAGGTAAGCCAAACGTTCCGTTTAGTAAATCGATTTCATGGTTTCGATCCCGATCTCTTCGAATCGTTCAAGATTCTGGACCCAAACTCCACGGTTTCGATACCAGCACTTTCAAAACTCCACGTGGTTGATTTTCAATGAACTGTTTGAAAGACATGGTTCCGTGGATTCTGATATTACTCTTAATTTTAAACACTACAAATGAAGAACGATCCACTAACTGTAGTGCCCGTCTTGTGGGTACATTTCGCCGTTGGACGGTCACGGGGATTGTAGCACGAAAGCGGCTGGAAGGCGGAGATGGGAGGTATTAACTGGGTTCAGACTTGAACTTGAAACATTTTGTAACTTGTGGTTCGGTTTTCGGGGTAACACTCAGCCCAACGGCGGAGTATATTAGGTCTCCGAGGTCTATAAATTAAGTAATGAGACTATTAACGTAGCTTTCGAGCTGGGAACACTGGGAGCGTCGGGCTTGCGGGGGGAGACAGGAGAACATGTGATCCGCCTTTAGTACAAGTTTGAACTCGCTCGAGTATTTTCTTTGTCCTAAGCGATTTTTTTTTTGATAATCAATTTTTTCTATTGCGGTCTAAACATGAGTGACATCATTTCGAGCAACGGTGTGGTATCCGGTTTTCGGAAGGCCTACGGAGACAGTGTTTTGTCAAGAGGTCAGATTTTTCGGTGGTTAAGGCATTTTCAGAAGGAAGAGAGTCGATTGAAGACGAAACACGAAGGAAGGCCTTCATCTTCAAGAACCGATGAAAATATCGACAGAATAACGACCGTTCATCAGATCACGATAATGCACCTTGTCACAACATCTTTGAGTCCTTGTGACTTTTTTCTCTTCCCACATTTTGGGACAGTCAAAAACATTCAAACGGCTGTAACCGACCAGCTGAAGGATATTCCAGTATAGGAGTTCCAGCACTCGTATGAGGAGCAGAAGAACCGCCTTCCGCGCTGTGTGACTTCAGAAGGAAGTTATTTTGAGGGTGGCAGTATAAAATTGTAATTATATTTGAAAAAAAAATCAGTTGCATCATTAATTTACACACCTCGTATTTGTCTTGACACTGTTAGAGTTAGACATGTTTTTTTCGCATTCCCTCCCTATTCCTGGACTTTTCCTTAATATTATTTTTATTCTCTCGGTTCCACATTTTCTGATAACTTTAACAGTAAAACGGCAACTTGACATAAATCCAAAAGCCACCCTTACTCGAAACCCAACACTACAAATACTTCCTCATTATTACCAGTTTGGTGTGTTGGAATTGAAAGTATATCTGCGAGGATTCCAGTTCGTTAAAATGCAAGCCGATTTTATGAATCGGTATCGAAACCACCGGAATCGTAATTGAAATAGTCAGACTCGATTCCTTCGATATGATCGGTATCGAATCCTTTATTTCTGCGGTAGCGTTCCTTTGAAACTACTCGTACGGAACCGACCCAACTCTGGTTCAAATTGTATTTAAGTTGTGTGTCGGTGGCTCAATTATAGCGGTAGAGTCAAGAATTTACTCACCTCAGCTGTCAGTACTCCTCTAACAGTAATCCCAACTTGGGGGTCGACCTTGACGGTCACTCCAGGCTCGATCACTAATTCGGCAGTTCTTTCTATGATGAGATCATTCCTCAACCAATAGGGGCTGTCCGCTGCCGAAAGAGTCACTGTCGTGTCCACTATTGTCCCACCAAGATGTTCAGTCACCGTCCTTTTCGTGCTCGGGAACTCGAAGGTACTCGTCGCGTCCCTTTTGGTGAACAGGGAATCACTCGGTGGTACCGTCGTTTCTTGAGAGATCACGTGATCGAAGTAGAGGATCAAAGCGAAAAAAGTCCGTAGGAAGTTGCACATTTTGTCACGTGGGATAGGCGTGCATTATTTTTTAATGTTTAGGTACTAGTGTCGTAGCATGTGTGTACTGTCACTGATAACTGAAAGTAAGAAATGTTTAATGTGAAATGTGACAAACTTTGCATTGGAGTTATTATTTTATCGCTTTTGCACATTTAATTTCATGCTTTTTCTATTAATTATATACAGTGAATATTGTATTTATTGTTTTATTTGCATTTTGTTTATTTCTGAGTAATACTTGTACGCCGATGGTCATTTGACCGGCCATGGTGGAAATAGTGTATTAAGTGCCTGGTAATCATTAGCAAAGACGTATAGATTGTTATAAAGGGAGTCACAATTTTACCATATTTTAATACCGAAAGCCATCTTTCTCAATACTGAGTGAGGTAATTCTCAACATTCAGATGAATCAGATCATTCATGCGCTGGAATTTTTACTATTGCTATCATTAATGTTACGTTATGACTGTGCTAATTACAGATCATATCTAAATATCGTCCTTGGTCCTTGGTCGATCGAACGTCGGAAGTAATAAAATGTAATCACTGAATTGATGTCTACTTGTCTACGCGTCGTAAGAATCTTGTGAAACATGCTTTCTCTCCAATTTTATAGCAGCATAAAACTACAGTTTAGCTCGGTATTTTACTAAATGCGAGAAGCTCAATATTATCTTCTCAATCTGTGAAGAACGGCCTGGAAGGAATACGGTGAATAATCAAAATGACTAAAGGATGTATGTATACGTATTTAGAGATGAAATATTCTATACACAATATTTTAAGGGAGAATGTACGAAGTTTTGACTTTTGCAATCTGATTCAGGATGATTAGGAGAAGAATAATCATCTGCTCCCACAACCTAGATGCTGAGTGCTTGATAGTTGACTGTGGCCTTATTTTACAATGCTTCGAGGCTCTGGATCGTATTGTAGCGCATCGTTTTGTCTCATTCAATCGGATACGGTGACATACATAAGTACGGTACGCTGGATTAGAGAGAATACTTGCTGGGGGATCACTCCTTGAAGTATGCGAGCTGATTTTAGAGCCAAGAAAGGAAAGGGATACAAACAACCTAGTGTTGTTTCTGGGTCTGTAGTCCGGTCAGTCATAACCTCGATCATAAAAAGTTTAGACGCCAAATGTGTGTGATGGGGGTGAAGGAGTCCTTGACACACATAATGTATGTCCTGAGAGTTTTGGCACAAAATTCATTGGCTCTAATTTTAACAAACACCAAATAATATCAAATTGCCTTTGGAAATGTTTGTTTACTAACATTACTGTCAGTTGACGTTTATTTATTTTGAAGTTTTCGCTTCAAGACGTCGCCGTCGTATAAATTAGAAATAAGAAAAAGTATCTACTAAAGTGTGTTGGGCGAGTACTCAAAACTGAAATCTGTCAAATATTCCAGAATGGAAACATTTCACGTAGAATTTATCGAACAATAGCGGAGTATGAGCATGGAGGGAGATTGGTGAAAAGATCAAAAAATGGGTTGGAATGTCTACAAGGAGACTGGCTCGCCAATTCAGATCTTTTAAGAGTATGATATCGTTGAAATTGAGGAGGAATATCGAGAAAGACTTAAGTGCCCCTAATACTCTCAAGCGCAAATCCTTCGTATACCAAGATGCTGTCGTCAACTAAAGCGGGTAAGTTTTGCCAATGGAAAAATCATTATTTTAGATGACAAAAGTATTTCACTTATTAGTTAATCTGAAATGAATGGATTTTATACGGAAAACGTAGAGGAATGTCTTGACAATGTTAGATATAAACATAAAGCGAAATTTGTAGATAAAATCCTTGTGTGGTGAGCAATTTTTAACAGGGGTGTATCCCAACCTTTTGTGGGAAGGGTGAGGGGTGTAGCTTTGAATAGTCAGAGATATTAATAACTGCCTTTCCAAAATGCTTCACTCTGTCCACAAACATCATGGTAATGACCAAATGTTTTGGTCAGATCTAGCATCAGCAAGAGATACCCAACACTGGCGTCGACAACATAACATACCTTTTTTTCACAAAAACGATCATTCTCCAAACTTGATGCAGGCACGCTTAATAGAGGATTTTTGTGCTTTACTGTCTAGGAAGGTTTAGCATGGAGGCTGGGAAGCCCAAGATGAAGAACAATTAAGACGGCGAATTTACGAAAAACAGAGAAATTGATCTGAATTCCGTCCAGGACCGCATGAGAGACTTTCGAAGAAAGTTGCGTCTGGTAGAGCGAAATGGGCCACTCCACATAATTCGATAGTATAGTTTAGTTAAGTATCGAGTTGTAATTTTTGATAACTAGTTAGTATTTAAATATATTTCTTCATTAAAAAAATCCGATAAATATTTTGTGGCAAAACTTTTAGGACATACGATAGTAAACCGTCCTTTTGAGAAAGGATAATCTAGGAGCCCAGACGTTTCAAGAACTCAATTCTTTTGTTACTGCTTTTCTTTTTGTGAGTTGCTCTCGGGAATAGAGTATCTGTGTTTCTTCGGGGTTCTAAGATAGCAACGAGATCCACATTTTTGGATCCTCGGGACTTTAATCGACCTTGAGGTCATTGTTAAGTTTGTCAGAATGAATGCTCTTGGTCACATACTCTATCAGTGTAAGTTGAGTGTTTAATACCATTTTTTTCTTAACTTGACATAATACGCATTGGAGATTAGATGGTCACTGATACAAGTTATTCAGTATTACATATATTTGTAACGTAGCATCTGTTGAAGATTATACAGTTCAGACTTCAGATCATACTTCCGACGAAGCATTTTATTCCACCATGGTCATGCTAATGATCCAAAAGGCTTTGTTTCTGAGACAAAGGTATCCAAATGTTTTTCTATGTGCCACATAATTATAGTCCCAATCCAGATCGAACGCTTCTTTGTCTTTCTACCTTTGTAAAGAGTTTGCTTAGTGGAAAATAGTATGTAATGGTAACTTGATTTAAAATAATTTTTGAATGGATTCCATTTAAACTTCTCAGTTAGTGCTTTACTGCAGCTAGCAAGAAGTCCAAAATACTTGTTTAATTCATGATATGCTATCTGACCAGTGATATAATTTTCCAAATTCATATAGCAAAGTTCATGAATCGGTTTACGAGTTCTATGATCTTCAAAAACGGACTTTATGCTCCATCATTCTGTTTATCTAACGGTTAAACTCACTTAAAAGAACTGACAGAAGGTATAAACACGTTCGAAAGTGACCGTTGACGTTGGACACATTTTGTAATCCACCGTAATCACTATACACAAAGAAAACGGGTTGACCTCTCTACATATGGCGATTCCACGCACGCAAATGCACTGAAAACTATCACAAATCGATGGAAAACTTGGGAAAAGCGCTGTTTATACGCCTACACCAACAACGTATCCAAGAACGACGGTTGCAATAAGCAGTCGCGAGGCGCGGTCCACGGCGCACTGTTTTTTACAGTAAAAAAGTGATCGCCGTCGCGGTCACGTGATCCAGGTAGATCCCCACCTGCGCGCAACCGATCTCAGGTAGAAAAATGACACAGGTGCATGGCGGTTGTATGGTCCTTTGTTTATCCGGCTATCCGGCAGCCAAAGGGATGGGCTGATGGTGAGGCAATGAATGAAGGGAGTCTGAAAGTCGAGTGCCGTAGTTGTAGTAAAAGTCTATGACTGCTGCAGGTTCAATTTAGCGTAGGTAGAAAGGTGATTAAGATATAATTTGGGCAAATTGAGGGGGCCACAAGCGTGCATAATAGTTTTGCGAAGGGTCAATTAAAGCGCTGGTCGCCTATATTCTTCTGTACAGTACGAGAGTTTCAAACTGTGTTAGGAAAACCTTTATCGGTCTTAGTTTTTGAGTGCTTACTCATCGACTATTATTCTACATGGTTTGCTTTGAAGTTCTAAGTTACTACAGTGTTGACCTTTTGATTTAAGTGGAAAAGTTGAGCTTACATACCATTTTCGTATTGTCTAGCAGAATATTGCTATGTATACAGAGTGTAAACGTTATGGTGGTCATTATTGAAATGGGTAATAGGGGGTTCAAAACAAGTCAAAAAGTTCATATGACCCATGGTCCAAAAGTCAATAGATTTTTGTCTAAATGGCTTTATAGTTTACAACTTTAAGTGCTTTATATCGACCACAATCACCACAATCTTACTAATTTTTATAATCTAATTTAAAACGTTTTTAAATTTTGTAATTAACAAATAAATGGTATTAAGTTTTTCTAAGTTAATCAAAAATTTGTAGTCAGTAAGTAAGTTTCATTAAATTATATATTTAAAACACACACGACAACAGCGCGTCGGTCAATAATCACTCTTATCGAACCGGCAATCAATCGCAAACGGTAACAGTGGTTAGTTAACGTTTTGCATAGCTAAATTGCTTTATCGTTTTGTCGAGCAGACCATTGGGCGTATTGTTTTGTTGTTGTTCGCGTACGTCGTCGTGTTTATTTACAATGTTCTCGAATCAAGAGTTCGCCGACATGTTGTTGATTTACGGTGAAGTTCGTCAGAATTCAAATCTTGCAGGTCGAATTTATCGCGACAGATTTCGCCAACGGGTATTCGCACTCGGAAATTAGGCCGCCGCGTAGGACTATCGCATACCATAGTCCATAGAATCCTACGGCAAAATTTGCTTTATCCCTACCATATACAATGAGTGCAGGCCTTGTTACCAGAATACTATCCTCGCAGACTAACATTCTGTCAGTAGTTTTTGCACAAAAACATTGAAAATCCGGATTTTTTTTAAAACACTCTAGCGACGGACTTATGTACTTTTACGCGAGACGGGATATTAAATTTCCATAATACTCACACATGGGCCCAAGAAAATCCTTCGTGAAGGTCATTTCCAACGTTTTAAAATAAATATTTGGGCGGGTATTCTTAATGACGATGAGGTAATTGGCCCTTTCGAGTTACCCCCAAAGTTGTCAGGAGAAGGATACCTTAGCTTTCTAGCCAATAACCTACCAGAACTTTTGGAACAGGCCTTAGACAACATGTCATTACAGCGGAGATAGAATTTGTGGTTTCTTCATGACGGGGTACCACCACACATTTTTAAAGGCGCCATTCAGTATTTGAATGAACATTATCCAAATTGCTGGATGGTCGAAATGCTCCTGATCCTCAAAAATGGCCAGCAAGATCTCCTGACTTCAATCCGATGGATTTCTGGAATTGAGGAGAACTTAAAGGGATGGTTTATGGGGCTGGTAACATAACAACTGAAGCACAACTTCGCGAAAAAATTTTAATGCGGCTGAAATAATAAATGGACAACTTCGAGGACCTAGAGTAAGAAGAAACTGGGTTCGTCGTAATGAAGCTTGTGTGGAAAGTGGAAGACGACATTTTGAACACCTTCTTTAAATACAAAAAAAGTGCAGTGTGGGTTTTAAAAAGAAAAACAATGTATGTATCAAAATTGTGTTCCCTATTTATAATTGGATTCTTTTAATACGTTCAGTAAACTTTCACACACCCGGTGAAGCGCTGAGACCGTTAGTGGTAAGTCCGTTTTTTTTAATTGTTTGCATTTTACGATTGCATTATCAAATAATGAAATAATACCTAAGTGCCAAAAATAACAAACTCCATCTTTATTTACACTGCGTTCCGTCCTAATTTGCGTCTGGCATTGCGGCGTTGTCAGATTTTATTTTAAAGTCGCTTTTCTCTAAAAAAATGCCGTTTTGACTCCCCTGTTAAATGAAACTCTTTGCTTCAACCCCCTCTATCACCCATTTAAATAATGACTATCATAACGTTTACACCCTGTATACCGAATGCTTTTACAGAAAGTTCTCGACAAGGTCTCCAGTGGATCGTTTAACAAAACAGCTAAATATATTTGTACGTTGATATAAGGGAACCTGAAAATATCCTGTTTTTGACTTCACTCTGAAAAGCTGAGGCGAAACATCAATCAAAATTCTCTCAGCTATCACTGTATGTCCAGCATTGCAATCAAGTAATGAAGCTTGTTTTGAGAAATGCTTGGAAGCAGCTATCTGGAACAAAACCGCAGTACTCCTTTGGGAACGTTGCCGTCAGTCTCGTTTGAAGCAACAAAGGATTGCAAATGATAGCTAGGAATATAGTGACTAGAGAACATGGTAAAAAAGCCAAGCACACATTTATTCCATTTTTGTAAATATAGCCCACATTTTTTTATTATGGACTATGACATACAATACATAGGATATTCAAGACCTCTTCGATCCCTTAAATGAATAAAATACCAGGTAAAATCTGATATTTATCCCAATACGTACATAGTTCGAATGTATTTTTTATCAAGGTTCGATAATAGAGAAAGACGAATTATGTTTGTTTGATATCACTTTCTTTTTGCTTTGCATAAAACACTGGTTGGAAGTGTACGGGATATATTAGGCTTAACCTACTCTATAAGCATCTAATTCTGGGATTCAAACAGAGTGAGCAGCGTGGGGATTTTTTTTATATTCCGACTACCACGAATGCCTAAGGTCTAAACACCCATGGGGTACCGTGGGGCTATAGGGGAAAGGGGGAACGCCACACGGACTCTGGCGAGGGAACACGTGTGCATGCAACATGCACACATTCTGGCCCCGCCTACGAGATCCGCCGGGTGGTACCTCTGCGTTCGACAGTCAGAGACCGTCTACCACCTACGAACAATCACAACATCCATAGTCAAGAGAAAAATTTCTCTTGGGACAGTATTCGAACCCGCACAGCTCACGACGACTGATCAGGAGACCGAAGATAGATCCATATAGAGCTTTGAACCCACATGAAGACTTTTTGTGTGGCACATTTTAAAAGAACTGGTTTCCAGAGTTCCATGTATCGTTTATAGCTTCCTGTACTCAATGTTAAAATTTGACATTGCTTGAATTGGGGAGTTGTCAAAAGTAGTCACTCATAGTAAAATATATTAAAAATTACTACTTTGTCTACGCCAATGTTAGATCAGTAATTATATCTTAACCAAACACAGTGAACCTACAAGTCTCTCCCGTGTATTACTCATTAATCTTATCAGTTTATCTGGCTGTTTGCTTTATTTATCATTATCTGGATAATTGCTAAACTCTGTCTGGTGCAGCGCAGGTGCCCTCGGTGACATTTTAACTATACAATAGGAGGAGCGGGAAAAACTTGAGATACAACAATGAGTATAATAATATTGTTTTTGTTCAGTCTTGTGAGAGGTAGATAATCTTGTCCCGTGTCGTTCTCTTTGATGATCTGAAATACTTCGAAAACGCCTGCCATGTCAGCATAAATGTCTGTAAGTTTCTTTTCAACACATTACTTGCTATTCATGGACATAACATGGGAATCATTTTTATTACAGTAGGAAAATTGTTTTCCAAAACATTGCCGCTGGAATGAGGCATATGCTGGCATATACATAACTACTCGTTGCGTGAATCAATGCTACGAAGTTGCGCATTGTAAAGACAAGGATATGAAGTACCTTTTATTATTAAGTTACGGATCTCTTGAACTTTCTACATTCTCCCAGAAAAGCTTTACACGTAACGCTGGTTTTTACTTTCCATGTCACACTGGCGAGGAATTATTGTAATCGCCAAAAATTTCAAAATTGGGCTATATGTTTTTTGTATGTTATAGAATATGTACATCACAAAAAAACTGTTACTTATTTCCGTTTGTCTGTCTGTCAGTCTGTCCGCTAATCCTTGGACTGCTTATTTTGATTGCAGCGACCCCCAAAAAAAAATTGCTCGAACTTTTTTAGACGTTTCAGAGGATCCTGATCATTTTACAACATTATTGGGAGGTGAACAATTGGGAGGTGGCACTTGTAGGGGTTGGGAGGATGTATCGCAATTTTTGATGTAAATGTATTGATACACTTCCAACCCCGGTAATTCTACGGACGGACGGTTCGCCTGTCGGCCGCACATGCCGTGCGCCACGGCGTTATTTCTAATTATTATTAGCTATTATAATCAGTTTGTTGACAAGCAGTTTTACTTGTTACAGTTGTATTTTACTGGTTCTAATAAAACCTACGTCTCTTCCATGTCATATTACTAGATAGAAAATTTACTAGAAGTTGTTTCGAAGGCGTGGAAAGTATAGAGGCAATCTACTTGACGCCATTTTTTCTTATCGCTCATTGAGTGGCTTCATCACAAAATTCTAACATAAAAGCAGGATATTTTACCATTGCCTAGGAACGCATTTATATGTTCAATGCTTCCCAGTACCGTACTTTGGCAAATAGGATGTGCCCAAACGGAAGTCATTCCTTTAGAGGAGTTCCTCACTGGAACGCTACCGTCAGCATTCATAGCCAAACTGAACTACTGGAATATACATCAGCTTCTTGGCGTGGCCACACTACTAGCCAATACTTCTACACGTATTGGTGTCCGACCCCACTTTCGGTTTCGGCGATAGTTTTGGTCCAGAATGTAGGTTTCTGCAGAAAATCCCCCAAAAGTAAATACAACCATGATATTAGACACCAACCACATGCTTTCATTGTTTTGTGGTATATTTATATTTTTGTAAATTGTACTGCTAGTGGGTCCAGGGGCTACGTAACACAACAAACTTTTGATCAAATTCGGAACCTCATCACCTTTAATTGCAACCCTATTTTGGCAGTTTTTCCCGTCAGACAATAGGTGCACTCTTTCGCTTCAATATGCGCGTTCGGTATCTTTTTAGGTTTTTTCAGGGTAAATAAAATGAGGGTCCATTATCTTAACTTTGAGATACTGTGTGGGGTGACCTTGAAAGCCAATTGGAACGCAATGCCTTCCATTATCAAGGTCCACATCTTTTCCATTAATTTGTGTTTTTACTTGTCAATATGTGTGGTGGGGGAACTTTCAGAGACTAACTTTTTACGTTTTTCATTCCATTACTTTTTTTATCTTCTATCCGAATTTATTCTTTTTTTCACAAAATTGTACATAACGAATATGTATGCACATCAAGTTTATTCACATCGTTCTTGATTTTACTTCCTAAGCGACTGGGTGAGGAACTATTACTAAAGTCGCGCGACATGATCTAAAAATCGCTCGTATCGAAATGTCGTACTACTGCTCTTTCAAAACGTGCGAATAGAATGCTTATAAAAGTTATCTCAATAACAGCGCCGGATTTGATTTTTAAGAATAGCACAATTTCTTTTCGAATTAAAAGAGTATTTATATTTCAACATGAAAAGGCATAGTTGCGATTAAACATGAAATGGGACATCCGGTAAATGGCCACCACGAAATCTCTGGCACAGGGTGTTTTTTCTTAAAATTCTGGGTAACGTTTTCGCACAACTGTGGCTCTATTTCGTCGATAACGCACCGTATCTCTTCTTTAATGCGTTCAACTGTTTGTGGATTGTTCGCATACACGTTTTCCTTCACATAGCACCAGAGGAAGAAGTCCATTGGCGTTAGATCGCATGATCTTGTTGGCCAATTTTGATCGCCAAACCGAGAGATGGACACGGCCTGGAAACTTGGTCCGGAGTAACACCATTTTCGAAGAAATACGGTCCAATTACTCCGCCACCCCACAATGTGCACCAAACGGTAACTCGCGGCGGATGCATTGGCTGTTCGATTATTACACGAGGGTTTCCAGAACCCTAAGTTCTGCAGTTCTGTTCATTGACGTACCCGTTTAGGTGAAAATGTGCCTCATCAGAGAAAACGATTTTCTTCGAGAAATCCGCATCAATTTGGTGATCTTCAGCGCTCAATCAACGAACTCACGGCGCTGCTTATAGCCCGTTGGCTTGAGTTCTTGCGTCAGTCGAACCTTGTACGCATGCAAGCACAGATCTTTTGTCAAAATTCATTGCAGACTGGGTCTTTTAAGGGTCAATTCTTGGCCACGATGCCGAATGGAAGAGCCTGGATTCTCGGCATCACTTTATCGCACTGCGACTATATTTTCGAGAGACCGATCAGGGTGGCGACGAACAGTGGTCTTCACATTCAGCAACGTGAATTTTCTCAATTTTTCACAATAATTAAACGCTGCTCGTTTAGTCGCGTGGTCTGGACATGAAGCTGTCATCAAGTAAACACCATACAATTTGTAAAAAAAATGGCGGCAAATTTAAATCCGGCGCCCTTGTTGAGACACTCTTCATTTCATTCCATAAAAATAAGGGAAGGAGAACGATAAAAACATATTCATTGTAAAAATTCAATATATTCTCACTAAAAGGTACAAAAGGTCTTATGTATGAACAAAAATTGTAACTTGTCCAAACTCCTTAGCCACTAAAAAGATAGGGTACATACAAATACAAAAGCAATAATAGAGATATAGAAAAAATATAATAAAGCCTAAAGAGCCTAAACTAGAAACGAATTATGTTAATATATTTTTCACGAGTACCCATTCAGTTTTGACGTCTACTGAGATCACCAAGGGACATCTTTGTATTAAAGTGTGTAGTGTTGGCAATAATAAATGAGGTGTGAAGTCTTGTAAAACTTAGGATCGTATTCAGAGCTGTTTATGTAAGGCAAAGAAACTGTTTATACTATTTTATTCCTTCCTGACTTGAAATATAGTCATGATTATTAGCAGCCATTTTGCTTGTAACTTTTCTAAATAAATGCGTTGTTGGGAAGTATGGAAACCATAGTGTACAAGAGACCACAACAAAATATGACTGCCTACAGATCTAGCGTTGACTGATCCGTCAGAATTGTGCGTCACTTGTCGATATGGGAATTTTGAAACATTACCACATAATCAGCTGCTATTTGTTGTCACGGTTCACGTAATGGATACTCGTGAAAAATACTTCAGTAAGACTGACTGCCTTATATGAAAGCCATCATTTTGAAGTATTTGACTTCTATAGATAAAAACTAAAAGTAAAGCTGTAGAAAAACTATTGTATAAGCTTAGAAGTCAAAGTTTACTCAAACATAAAAAACAGGCTTCTTGTTGGCATTTTTGATGTGAATAAAAACATTTTATAATTGTAGCAAAAAATGCAGACACATCATCACATTTTCTTAAAAAACATGATTTACGAAGTTTCGGAAAGAATAATTATTATTCCTCTAAAACATCCTTGAATATAAATCCTGAATGAGGCGAATCTTGAATTTCGATAAACTAATATTTGGCTTATTTACAAAATAAATTTGTTTTCTTTGGTACCTCACAAAATTGATTTGAAATTAATTAAATGTAAACTAAAAATAATGTTCTAAAATGCGAGGTTATAATAATATTGATATTTTTCACAGTATTGAGCCAGCGTAAGTTACCAGCGACTCAATGTTAAGGCATTTAAGGCACTAATAAATGTAGATTACAAATACTAGTTCAGTTCTTGTATCACACTATAAACTACTATCATTCTCACATCTTCAATTTTTATTTCCGTTCGCAGCTACCTTCTCTTTCTCATTCTCACTATTTCTAATTTGCACTCTCTCCATACTTTCAACCATCTTGTTCAGAGTTTTCACTGTTTCTTTCTCGCTACTAGTGTTATTTTTATTCTTAACAATTAATTTTTCCTTATCTACCGTAAACTGGATTGGTTTAGCAGCTGGTTTGGTCCTGAGATAGTACATGCCAGTCTTTAGTCCTTTTCGCCATCCATAGAAATGAATGGAGGTTAGGACGCCATAGCTTGGCTTTTCTACGTGGATGTTCAAGCTTTGGCTTTGATCGATGTATGCACCTGGACAAGAAAATAATTTTCCAATTGTTGTCTTAATTTGTAAGATTGAGAGTGTCACCATGTTACATGCGGATGGGACGATGCTCAACGCTATGCTGGACTAGTACGTTCAATATCAATTCCTTTGTCACATTAGTATAACCAAGTAGGATCATAGTGATTTTTAAAAAAGGAGTTTCGTTTATTATCTCTGAGGGTATAAGTAATAAACCAAACTACATCTTCTTTTTAAAGGAAATTATTTTTAAACATAACATTAACCTTACCAGGAAACCTGCCTAGTAATTATTCCTAAGATTTTGTATTTTCAGAATATCTCAAAGAGGGAAATCCCAAAATATGCATCAACAATCAGTCATAATCAAAAAAGAAACATCATACACAGGACCGCATCTTAAGGGGGGGTCTTCTATGAAACATTTTTTCGGAGTGTTGAATTTTAAAAATAAAAAAACATCTTCGAAACCGTCAACTGGAATGAACTATAATTTGGTATGTGGATTTACCTAAGTATTGCCCACATTTAAAAGTCTTTACTTAAAATTAACGTGTACCAGTGGCGGAGATACAGGGGATTAGTGGCATTATTTTTCCAAATTAAAATCGTACGCCACTGTTTTTTTTCGATACGCGCAAGTTTTCGAATTTTACTGCATCAGAAAACCGTTGTTGAAACGAGTGACTTCTTTCAGAAAGGGTTTCTAACGACCAAATATGTCGTAAAAAGCGATTCATCTGACCACAAAACCAAATCAATAAAATTTGCATTTTGATTATGCATTTGCAGTAACCACAAAATTTCACCGTTGGACCTCGTCGCCGGGTTGCAGACATTTCATATTTTGCCGATGGTAAGGATGTAAAACTTACCGATTTAAAATTTTCCACACAAGACTTTGGGAACATGGTCACTGGGCTTCAATCCGCCTAGTACTTGTACTAGCATCATCCAACTCCAAATAAATCACTTCAAGTTCCTCTTGGACAGTATGCCGGACACCACGGTCTCTAACTCCGGGAAGTTTGGCAATTCCATATTGCCGAACGCGTAAAAACCTTTCGGGTAGGTTGACGTCTGTTAGGAAATTTAGGTTGATACTCCCGAGAAGCCGTTAAAGCGTTTCCATTACACAACCAGTACACAATAATAAAAAAAATGGTAGTAGTAACGATAACACATAACTTTGACAAGCTATTTCCCAAGAAACGTCAAGTCGGTATCAAGGCCTCCTATTCCATTTTGAAACTAATTATTGTATCTCGGCTCTTCATGAATGATCTAATTCGTTTAATTTTTATTTTTACGAAAACAGTGCACTCTAGGAAAAAACACAAGAGTAATTATTTGTAGCAAATTGAAGGTAAAATTCGTCTTGCGCGTTTCGAAAAAAAAAACGGTGGTGAACTATTTTTATTTGGAAAAATAATACCACTAATCTCCTGTATCTCCGCCACTGGTGCACGTTAATTTTAAATAAAGACTTGTGGACAATACTTAGCAGTTAGCAAATTCTAATTCATTCCAGTTGAAGGTTTTGAAGATATTGAAATTTTTCATTTTATTATTAAACTTCAACACCCGGCATCTTATAAAGAAAGCCCTCAGGGAAAAATAATACGTAGAAGACCCCCTTAAAAAGCGGTACTGTGTATGATGTTTCATTTTTGGTCACGACTAGTGAATCACCCTGTATAGTTGTTAGCATGACACCATGGTGCATGTGCCCGTTATCTCCCAGGTTCGGTTTTCAATTGAAATGGATATCTACTGGTGGAATATCTTAATCAATGATTTTTCTAATCAATTGCATGGAATCAGTGGCTACAAACCTAGAAACACTGTATTACTTTGATATTTTTTTATTGCTTTGCGATTAAATATCAGAGATATTTATAATAATAATATATATGTGTGACAAAATATGTATATGGGTTTTGGAACTCGTAGATGGTAGCCTTGAACATTTTAAACCTGTTTTAGAAGCTTCGCATCATATGGAGAGATCAACAGTGCTTTTCAAAAAGCCACCCTATTCAATTCTTGAATGGGTCAAAAGTTAGCAAGCTGAAATTCGGGGTATTGAAATTGATACATGAATACTATATTTTAGCTCAGAGGGAGTTGAAGATTTCAAAAAAGCGGCTAAGCGCCACTTTGGAACATTTTTTCAAATGGAATGGGGGTCGTATGGAAACTCATTTGCAAGCTCTTTACGAGTACTTTATAACTGTAGAATATAAAATCACCATCTTTCAAAATGCTGAACTGTTAGGCTATCAAAGTTGAGCGTTTTTGTGAATTGGGTTGCTTATAACTCAACAGTGAATCATCAAAATGCTATATATAGTATATCAATATTCCTCTCTTGGGAGGGTCTATCAGAATATATAGTGAAATATGAGACATTGAATTTAAAAAAAAAATACAAAATCTGTACATTTTTTGAAAATCTAAATGATCTATATTTTATTGGGCAGTCAGATTGACCATTACAAAGGAAGATTGATATAACATAGATAACGTTCTGATTATTAGTTGTTCAGCTAGATTAAATACACAAAAACATTCTAGGGTAATGTTCTAATCATATAAGCAAATTTCACCGACATAATTGTAAAGTCGGGTTTTATTGATGCAAGTTATTCAAGCACGCATAAAATGGGTACATCAATTTTTGTGGGAAAACTTTCTATTCGACAACAAAGAATGAGAAAACGCGTTTTTTGGGATTCAATCGAACGTGTTGGCAGGAACGAAAAGACCCTCAAAATAAGATCTATAGGTTTTACGAGACCTACAAAGTGAGACCATGCCTAAAAAGCCGACGCAAAATGCAGGTTTTGGCACTTGTTGCTAAGGCGACGATAATTTCACGCAGCTACTTGAAATACTTCAAATCCGTAGGCTTCATACTTCTAAATAACCACAACAAAATTGGAGTCGATTGGTCAAGTAGTTTTTGAGAATTTCTAATTGTTCGTCCCAAAACACCTGTTTTCCGGCCATCACTATTAGTTTACTAAGTAATTGTTATTTTTATGCGAAAAACGAAGGGCTACGTTTTTTCTTCTAAACACATTCAAACATTTCGTATATGTCAGTAACTGAACAGATTCGCTACGATATTCGGAAAACATACGTTATTGTAAACATTTTAAAACAGCGGACGTATCTGTCACCTTTTGTTACAAAGAATATATTTTTTTTTCAAGATTTCTTCATAGTCTTGTGTATAATTTTTTTCGGCCATACCTTTTTACTATTAGTCGGAACTTTTTATGTGTGGTCTCATTTTCTAGGTCTCATAAATACCTAGAAATCTTATTTGGAGAGTTTTTTCGTCCCTGCCAACACTTTCAACTGAATTCCAAAAAATGGGTTTTCTCATTCTTCTTTGTTGAATAAAAAGTTTTCCCACAAACAAAAATTGGCGTATCCATTTTATGCGTGTATGTTTTAAATACCCCCTTGAACAACTTACATCAATAAAACCAGACTTTACAATTATTCCGCAAACCAAGGGTATTTTTGTCTAATATGATTTGACTATAATATGGATCTTCAAAATAAATATCACATGACCTTCCATTTGCCAGTTTTTAGGAACAAAATGATTCATTTTTATTTACAATTTTGAGAATATCCTAATCTGAAGTAATCATGAGGTAGTTAAATTGAAGGTAGAATTGAATATCATAACCACATACCTCTATCTGCAGCCATTTCAAGAACCACCTTCTGCGATATCTCCCACACGGTTTTGTAGATAGCCTTCAGATCATCAGGAATATTTGGGATATTCTGGATCGACCCACAATTTGCAATAATTTGATTCTTCATTGTGTCGTCCCACAATCCCCTGTCTGTCAGATCCTTTAGCAAGTGATGATTTACCACCTGGAATTCTCCAGCTAACACTCGTCGCGTGTATATGTTGGTAGTGTAGGGTTCTACGGACTCATTGTTGCCTGAAAATAAATAATAGTCCGAGAACTGACAGACAATTTTGGGTAGATATTTGAGGCACACTCTAAACTTGTCTAATCCTTTTTCCTAAACGCAAAAGTGCAGATCTGGTTGGGGCGTAGCGGGGCTAAGTCAACTCTTAAATTTTTAAACAAGCCATTATTTCTGCGAAAATTGTCATAGGCCATTTCGAAATTTGTGTGCCTGTAAATTTGATATTCAAAACGAAAGTTCATTTACAGCATTTTTTAGGTTTTGACGCCAATTCATTTATTTTATGATTATAATTACAAAATATATCACTGATCACGACATTCAACAAAAATATTTTGTGTAATTTGTCAAATATTTCATAGTAATTACATTTCCTGAGCATACAAGCAGTGAATCAATTTATCAAAGTTAATAATCCCTCAAATACCTACCCAAAACTGTCTATCAATTGTCCTACTATAACATTTATAGTTACGATTATATTGATAGCAACTAAGGAAAATATGAAGGTTGCTCCTATTTTATGGATATTTGAAAAAACTTACCTAGTATCTGGGCAGTAGAAGCTGTAGGCATTGGGGCGAGTAAAAGCGAATTCCTAATTCCATGTCTAGCAATTTTTTCTTTCAACTTAGCCCAATCCCACAAATTTGTTGGAGTTACTCCCCACATATCATATTGAAGAGTACCTAAAAATATTTCCAAGTAAAGCAGGCGCATATAATGTAATTGCGTCCACTTCAAATTTTTCACTTAACATTTTCTATGGGATAGTTCTCTATTTGGGCACTATGCTCTACTTCTATCATGCTGTGATTGTTGAGTTTGTTCTAACTAAATAGTGTGTCTTACCCTTGCTAACAGGACTGCCTTCATAGGTGGAATAAGGACCTTCTCGTTCAGCAATTTCACAGCTAGCTTCTAGCGCTCCATAGTAAATAGTTTCGAAGATTTGGCGATTAAGAAGTCGCGCCTCAGGGCTTTCAAATGGCATTCGGAGTAGTATGAAAGCATCAGCCAAACCTGTATGAAATGCACTGATTTTAAACGAGTAGATTTTATTTGCTTATTGAGATAATAATGACTCAGATGCAAGTCCTAATTTGACTAGTCTCTAGAATAGAATAAATGTCATATTTATTTTACCTTGTACACCAATGCCAATGGGTCTATGTCTCATATTGGACGTCTTCGCCTCAGGAATAGGATAATAATTGACGTCAATGATTTTATTCAGATTCTTAGTGACAACCTTAGTGATTTGCTTCAACTTCTCGAAATCATATGTCTTCCTATTATTACTGACAAACATATTGACGGCAATAGACGCCAAATTGCACACAGCCACTTCGTCCGGGGAGGTGTATTCGACAACCTCTGTGCACAGGTTGCTGCTCTTAATCGTGCCAAGGTTCTGCTGGTTGCTTTTACGATTGCAGGCGTCTTTGTATAGCATGTATGGAGTTCCTGTTTCAACTTGGGAAACCACGATTGCCTTCCATAGCTCCTGGGCCCTTACCTGTTATGTACAGATCTTTTTTAGCAAATATTGGGGTATAGTCAATGAAGGGGCTGGTAATGTCGGACGTAAGTCAAACAGGTTTCATTTTCTCGTTTTTTATTCCCTTTAAACCATTGTGAATGTAATCAATATCAGTCATAAGTTGATGTTGGTGAAACAGAACAAGTATGTTCAGTAAGGTGATGTGCTTATTTAATTTGGTCAACATAACTCATTACTAACCTGTCTAATATAATTTCCTTCAGCTTCATATTTTGTATACAGCTCATTGAATTTTTCACCCCAGCAATCAGACAGGCCTGGAGATCTATGAGGACACATCAAAGACCAAACGCCATCCTTTTCTACACGCTCCATGAACAAGTCAGGAATCCACAGCGCATAGAATAAGTCTCTGGCTCTCTCCTCCTCTTTTCCTGTATTCTGTTGAGATAAAAAATTATACTTAAAATCCAACTTCCATGAAACGCTAATCAGGATTTTTACTACGTACACTCGTCAGAAATGAAACTATTACTCGAGATGATTATCTCACGCGCATGCGATCGGTCTCTTTCGCACCGTGACGTCACTAGGTGACAAAATTCATCTAAGACGGGTAACAAACGTTCGTTGTTAGATTAGTCTCGTTAGTTTGTTATCTGGTATGCTTCAAATAAGTCTGTGTGTGAAATATAATTAAAAACAGCGACTTAAATAATTAAGTATGGTGAACTGTGAAGTGGTAGGATGTTCAAGCAACAACAAGATCAGAGATATTTCAGACTGGCGTTTCTTGAATCTCATAAAGGACAAACAAATTTGCGAACAATGCATAAAAAGCCAATATAAAAAATTCATATATATATGTATTATGTGCATAAGGGTATTAAAATCAATTTTTTTGTTTCCATAAATAAAAACTCGGCCCTTCATTTGGAGTTCTAAAGAGATTTTAGTTTGAGAAGATACAGTCGAATTTTCATATAATATTAAGCTATTCAGAAGCTTTAATATCGTCTATTGTTCATTTTTCAAAAGTGATAACTTTACAAATATTGCAATATTCCGAATATTGGAAAGAAAACGCTCTAATACAATGCTGTTCATACCAACATGCAACAGTTGTCACCGATTGACATCATGCGCAAAGACGTACAAAATCCAATCGTAAAGCGAGATCAGTGTCATTATTTACAGTGTATTTTTAAAACTGTTACCTTTTTCAGGTTCAGGAAATCGAAAATGTCAGCATGCCAAGGTTCCAAGTACATAGCAAAAGCACCAGGTCTCTTGTTGCCTCCTTGGTCCACATATCTAGCAGTGTTATTGAACATTCTGAGCATTGGAGTCAGCCCATCTGCAGATGTGTTAATACTGCCAATTGGTGTTCCTGTTGATAAAGATTAAGAGCTATTATTTTAGCTTTAGTAACATATCAGTGCTCCATTTCAGCACAATATCTAATCTAACTCTAATATATTTTCTAAAAATTGTACCTTTTGCTCTGATGTTATGGACATTAACTCCGATCCCTCCAGCTGATTTGGAGATGTAGGCACACCTCTGCAGGCATTGGAATACTCCCTCTATGCTATCATCAGGCATCATAAGCAGGAAACAAGAACTCAGTTGAGGTTTAGGAGTTCCTGCTGAGAACAGTGTTGGACTTGCATGGGTGAAGTATTTTTCTGAGAGGAGGTTGTAGGTCTCTATAGCTGCATCTATGTCTTCACCATGAATGCCTGGAAATTATTTTAAACAATAACAAAAATGGCTGACATGGAAATGCAAGGGATTTGTAGATGAACCGAATTCTCAGACTGTGAAGTTCAATATAATTTTAGAAAAAAAGTTTCAATGGGTGTGATAATCCCTAAAAATTGCACATAACAATTTGAGTATGTTGAGTAATCACTAGTAACAAACATAATCAGCATTGAGCATGGCATTTCTACCCAGTTGGAGAACTAGTTTTTAATCTTGAAAGCATGCGTTGCAAAGGAAAATAAACCAAACTATATACAACAAAACACATCTAACAAACGAAATTTAAAAATAAATGATCACAGTAATATTCAACAAGCTACAGCAGTAAATGAAACATGTTAAGGATTCATATTCAAACAATTTGCTTTAAAAAACTTGATGGTAAGGTATTATATAGGTAAAGTTAGTAATATATATTACAAAGCATTTTTTCACGAAACCTTACAGTTAAAAACTTACCAATAGCTACTCTCATCAGCATATGCTGAGGTCTCTCAGCAATTTTTCCTTTGATCTTCAATAAATAAGAGCGCTCTAATGTCTTGAAACCAAAGTAGTTGTAGTTGAAGTCTCTATTGTAGATGATACAAGAGTTGAGACGGTCTGCATTCTTCATAATTATAGAGTGGTGGAAATCTGAGATCATTGGGGTTTTTTTGCCTGTTTTTGCATCTGTCATGTTGTAGAGATCATCTATTACCTCTGCAAAACATAATTACAAATCAAAGAACAGAATTTGCAGGCAGCACAATCATTGTGCATAGTAAAATTAATAATTTCAGTGTTTTGGGTATAGTGAAAAAAATGCAAATAAAAAAAGTGGTAAGAATTGTAATTATTTTAAGAGTCCTACCACTGAACTGTTTTTTGGTCTCTTTGTGTAAATTTGAGACTGCTATCCTTGCAGCAAGGGTGGCATAATCTGGATGGTCCACAGTCTTCATTGCAGCGGTTTCTGCAGCTAATGTATCCAACTCTACAGTTGTTACTCCAGGGTATAACCCACTGATCACTTTCAACATTATGGATACCTATTATACACATGAAGAATAAATAGTAAAGAGTAATCAGACTTTAAGGTAGAAAGTAGAATATAGAAGAATTATTTTCTGGCCCTAATTCTAAGAATATTTTCTTCTATTTGTTTAATACAAACCAAATATAGTTGGTGCATTTTGGTGGCAGCATATAATCTATTAGACCTGAACTTGCATGACTGCTGCTTATGAGATGAGACCAATTAGTCATTATACTCTCACAGAAATGGTGGTAGATTTGAGACATTAGGTAATGATGCAAGTAGCCTGATGTTGAATCTGCTGAATTATGAATTATTTTGAATATATCTATCTTATGCAGATCCTTAAAAAAATTTAAGTGGGACTCTTGCTGTTTTTTTTTAAGAATTAGCTTATATCTATAAAGCTAAGCACATTTGCAACAATCTTCAAAGGACAATCTACTTATAATTGTGCATGGAGTAACCCTATACATTTTCAAAGATATGTATCCTAATAATCCATAGATTCATAAGACCATGTGATTACTTATTTTTATTAGTAATTATGACTGGTACTGTGATGTGTTCTCATAGTAAGTCTATGGGGGAACCTCAACTGAAACAATCTTGTAAGAATGTAAGGCGGCAGACAAACTGATCTGGCCTCAAACATTGAAGCATGTATGGAACCCATTCATTCAAAAACTTACAGGATCCACAAAATCCATGTTCAAGCCGTAACATAATTTCCTGATTCGTGAGGTGATCTTATCAACGTGTACTTCCTCCTTTCGACCATCTACAAGAGATTTTTTGTGAATATTGGAATTTTTACAATTGTAACCTTACTACTATAATATACGTACTTCTCTTGATAACGTAATTCTTCGTAGGAGTTTTCGACACCATTTTCGCACTCTGTTGAAAAATATTGGATAATATTTGTAAATGTTACGTCTGAATGGTTTATCTTTTTCTACATAAATTGGCGCCAAAACGAGTCTTTTGGGAAGAAGGAGGCATTTTATTACATGACAGTTCATCTTTAACCTCAATTTTGACGAGCAATGATTGGCGGAATTTAAATTTTAATTGGACCTTTGACCAATCGTAGTAGCCAGATATTATCCCTTAAATGTTGCCAAGCTATTTTTAAAAATATCTATAATGAATGTAAAACGCCTGGGTATCAATCGCCATGCACTTGAATGTAACAATTTTTGTTATAGTAGTAGTTAGTAGTAGGGAATAGGTTAATAGGGTGGCAGTTCCATTAGTATGTTACATGATCATGACAGAGATTCGATAAGGACTTTGTTTTGATAGGATTTATTGATTCTAGCACACATGGTGATTTGGGAATACCGCATTTCTAGTTCACTTGTGATGTGATCCAGATTCAAGGTAGGCTTTTACAGATTCATCTAGGAAAAAAGGCGTGGTTCATGTGAGATGGTCTTCAAGCACGCCCCTTTCTAAGGTTCATTAGTTCACCGCTAGAGGAATGAAATGAAATCATGCAGCACATGACTGAAAACATCGCCGTGTTGTCATTACTATGGACAGATGGCGCGCGTGATAAAATATGCAGATGTGTATATTAACAATCACATTTTTAATAATGCTTATAAATTAATAAAAAGCCTGAAGCTGTCTTTTACATATGTCTATCAATCATTCGTTTGTAAATCGTGAAGTGGAAACTGTTTTCTCATTAGATTACAGCTAATCTGCGCTTTTTTAAAAGTCCGTGTAGAACTGTAGAGGATTGGCCTGATGTGTTGTAGGCGTAGACCAACCCTGGTAAATACTCCAGGATCCCATGTTATATCATGAATGTATAACATGTATTAATATACCTACATAATTGTAAATCATATTACATACATTATAATGTATATCATGTTTATGATGTATATCATGTAGGTATATCATCTATATCAATATCATTTATATCATGTATATGAATCCTCTGGGATCAAAACCCCCTAAATCCACTTCAGACCAAAAATGAGTAAAATACACTTTGATATTCTTCAAACCATTCGTTACTGTTCACTATACCTATTTAGTGACAAATCGCTCTAAATCTATAGTAAAAATGGCATCAAAAAGCTACCACAGTTGCAAAGTCCCTTAAATCCAGCCATGATAATTTTCAAACGCCCCTAAATCCAGTTCAGCCAATCCGGTCACAGAATTTGAGGCGCCAGCGCTAAAGCCTTTTTCGCTCTGTTGCGAGAAAAACGAGACGATTTATTGACTATGAGTTTTGACTGTCAAAAGAATCTCACGCTTCCAAAAATACCTGACCAAAGTGTGTATTATAGTCGACAACTGTATCTTTATAATTTCACAACTGTAACCGGTGATTCACATTCTAATCTGACACCAGAAAACGTGCGAATATTTGCCTGGACAGAGGACCAACATGCGAAAGGAGCTAACGAGATTGCGTCTGCAGTGTTTTATACGCTGAATAATAGCAATATTAATGGCATAAGGAAAATACGACTCATGGCTGATGGATGTGGAGGTCAGAATAAAAACACAATTATGTTAGGTATGTGCCTAAAATGGTTAAGTACTTCAGTTGAAGAACTCGAACTGATCTTTCCAGTTGTTGGGCATTCATTTATACCTCCAGATAGGGTCTTCGCAGGCATTGACAAGAAGATAAGGCGACAGAACCAAATCATATAGCCCAAAGAATATTTCAACATTTTTGAGGAACATGGTTGCGTAGTGGAGTTAGGCAAGGATGTAGCTGTTTTTGACTGGAAGTCTGCAACTAGGGAAGTTTTGAAACCACCCGCCCAATGGCATATTAAATTCAATATGGTTAAAAGGTTTCTGTTGAAAAAAGGAAGAAACAATACAGTCACAGTAAGAGGTGAGCAAAGTTACCGGTCAGACTTAGGAGTCTACAAGACCGTATGCAAACCAAAAAAAATCTCGAATCATTAAATCCGCTCCCAATAGGTAGTGGCATACCGCCAAAACAAGCAAAACTATAAGATGTAGCTAAGCTCTTGACCAAACATTATGGCACCGCATGGAAGGGATTGACTTGCTTAGGATATTATAAAAATGTGTTTGAAAAACATTTAGTAGAAAACAGAGCAACCAATGACGGAGATGAAGGAGAAGAGGCTGAGCAAGGTAGTTCAGAAAACACTGAGCTTTGTGAAAGAATGGCAGAAGTTCCAGATGTAGATATTAGTTTAGATTGTAGTATAGATCATCACTTTTTTTTTTGCCGAAATTAACTCTTGAGTTTTCCGAATGTGCTAATCAGTTTAACGCGTGCCGTTTATTTTGCTGAAACATTTCATAAACATGTTTTGTTTTGATTTTGTTCCAATACTTTTTGTTAAAAATAAAGGTAACACTTTTTTCCTACATACCTAGTATTATTAAATCTTGAAAATAAAATTCAGTCCACGTCAAAATCCACTAAATCCATATTAGACAGTTTCATATTCCACTAAATCCATGGTTTGGTTGCAAACTGCACTAAATCCGATTTTATTTTTTAAATTGCCACTTTCAGCCTAAAGAATATTGTATTTTTACATTATATTACTGAATATATGATTATTAGGAATCCTAAAAAGCATATCTCGTCATATATGTTGATTCAAAAGTTAGCTAAAATGTTTTTTTGCTTTCCTGCACATTTAGCTAAAGTGGATTTAGGGTGTTGTGATCCTAGTGGATTCATATCATATATGTGTATATCACAAAATCTATCATTTTATGATAACACGTCTACACATTTTTCAGGGTATAATATAACTTTTTGGACATTCGAATGAGTTGACAAAAGTAAGACGCTGATACCTACCTCTACTTCTTTCTTGTTTAGCAGTATTCCTAATGCAAGAACTTTCGTGATTAAACTAAAAAATATATCTACATAAAAGACGAAATGTTAAGATTTATGGAAAAAATCGGCAAGTTTTATAATTTACTGGCATACATGCTGGACTCAACTCACAACATCCACACCACAAATTAGTAATATTCGGTAGTGGTACATATTTTGGGGATATGTTGCATCACGATGATTTAAATTCACCGTTCTGTAGCAATTCATATGTTCTCACCTAATTTACCATGTTGGGCTTGATTGTTACATATATACGTATACTACATAAAACATAAAGACATCTAGAGGTACTGCCACCTCATTGGATTGCTTAAAGTTGTTCGTATAAACTCGGGTTTTCATGATTTTTAAATTTTTTTTGATAAAATTACGATGTAAAGTGCATGAGAATTTTCGTAGCTATAAGTATGCATATAAAAACATCCATGCCGAAGAATAAAATAAAACAAAAGCTGCCTAGTTTCAAAATTGCTGGCACATTAAGCCATTGATCAAAGTAATCCACCCGATTGAGCGTACAAATTGCTAGAAAAACTTGCCCGTTATAGTCAGCCTTCCAGGAAGGTATTAAAAAAGCCAATATGAAAACGTTTAATTCTTAACAAACAAGCTCATTTGCTCATTCAAGTATAAACTACAAAAATCAATTTAATTCTCGCGTTTTTCTAATATGGTTTTTACTATATTTAGATTCAAAATTACTGGTGATTGTCGAAAAATCATAAAAGTTGAACAATCTCGAAAACTACTGATTTTTGACTATACATATTTACGGGATCTTTAATTAAGTGATGAGACTGGTCACGTGGCGTTCGACCTGGCAACACGGGAGGCGCCGACTTGGAGAGGTAAACATGTGATCCGCCTCCAGTACAAGTCTGAACTCTATCGAGTCATTTCGTTGACAGAATGATCGGGGAAGACATAAATTTGGCTCATACCACCGTTCATCACATCAAGAACAACTGGGTGTTGCTTCACGATAATGCTCCTTGTCACACAGCAATGTCAATAAACGAGTGTTTGGACAGTAAAAACATTCCTGAGGGTCCGCAGCCTCCTTATTCGCCCGAATTGAGTCTTTGTGACTTTTTCTTTTCCCGAAGTTGAAAAATCACTTCAAGGGCTCTAACCCACGTTGGGACAGCTATTCCGGTATCGGAGTTTCAGCACTGCTATGAGGAGGGGAAGAACCGCCTCCAGCGCTGTGTGGCTTAAGAAGGAAGTTATTTTGAGAGTGACAATATAAAATTGTAATTATATTTGAATACAAAAATTAAAAAAAAACAGTCTCGACATTTAATTTACAGACCTCTTACATTCTAGGTCCTCTATCATGCCCTGGAAGAAATACGGTGAGCTACCAGTACCTCTGTATTAGAAATTTCATATTCGAGTTTTCCTTTTCCAATATCATCCAGAGACGGTGGGAGGTGGTGGGTGAGTTAATTGTTCGAATAGGGCGTTCCACGACTTGCTCTATCCCTTTCTGATCCCCACCTCATCCCTCGGGCTATGAGAAGGAGGAATCGATAATCGAATAATGAAATAAAAGACATACAACGGCGGTGGAAAGCCAAGAAAATTAGCAGGCAATCATTTTTCTAGACAGCTGATGCTTTCTATTCGCCCGCTGGGGAAACTTTTCTGCTTGACGGAAATTCCTCATGATAGGGGGAGGGGGTGCACCTTTGTTTACTCTCCTGAACGAAGGAAAATACAGTTTGGCTGGTATTTACGAATTCTGAATATTAGGTGTGGTATAACATGTAAAGGGCAGGCATTGCATGTCTATAGTATGGTATTTAAGAAAAATACTGAACCCTTAAACAAATTAATACCATGCTAAAATGTAGCTTGGTAATTAATAATAAAAATTAGTCCTCATCCTACCCAGAATAATAGGTAATATGCATGTGCACTATTTATTTGATAAGGAATTTCAAGTCACATGTTTTATTTGTAAACGCTGTTTGAAGTTTTCACTGTTCGATGCAAAACACGAGTTTGTTTACCTCTTCCTAAATTTGCAACGTTTGAGACCGTCTGGGTCTTCAACTGAGTTTAACTAATCGGCTTTTGCACCATATATAAAGGGACATATACGGCTATGAGGGAAAGAAACATCGAGGACGATGGCGACGTTCTGAGTATTCTCGCGGTGTATGAATAGGATCTTGAAGATGCTCATATCAAATCCAATTTAGGTTTTTTACTTGCAGGTTGTGTATAAACTAGGTTCACCTAGATACCACGCGACGCCAGATTTGGATACTGACTCACATAGTCCGTTCTGTGAAGGAAAGCCCCCTTTGAGAACACCCTGTATAGTATTTGAGTTTTAAAAGATTGAAGTGTCGAAAAACCTTCCCAATTTAATAATATTAGTAATGGGAGAAGCCCGAAAAACTATTGTTGATATATGTTGATCTAACAAGACATAGGGTAAGTGGTCTATCACAAGCAAAATAATCATACTAGTCATATTTTTATTATTGCTTGTTAAATATTGACCTATTAACATTTGCATGTTTTAACTTAGCATATTTTAATATCATTAAGGTTCATAGGGAAAATCTGGACCAAGCGAATACTCCGGAAAAACAGAGTTTCCAATTTTACATCCGAACCATGAATCTGCCATTGTAAAAAATACATTGACTTATTCCTGCAACATTTTTCAATCATCCGCAATCTGATGTCGAAGTACTCCTGTGCTTATTTGAGATAGGAAAATGTGTTTTTTCGATAACAAGGAAATAGTTTTGTTAGATAGGTGTTGTGAGTGTAGTTCCATTTTAATGCTATCTGTCGAATAACTTTTTCAAATATTAAGCGTGTATTTTAAGGTCATACAAGTAAGGCTCGAGACAATGGTTTTGTTTGGAAATAAGAAAATTCTTAAATAAGTGATTTCGGGCAAAACAATAAAGTGTATTCTCCCCCAGCAATTTATTTTTATAGTAAGTAGACTTGAAATAGGTATTTTGGTCTAGCGCATAAACATGTAAAAAATAAATCAAGGATCCTGGATCTGTATTTGAAATGACCCATTCAAGTACTTGACTTATGTTGTACTATATATTGAAGGGGCTGAGGGAATGTGTTGCCTCCGTTTCCATAAAAAAATGAATTTTGGGAAAAGCTTTACTTAAGCAATTTATGAAATGACCCATAAAATTAATGTGATATGTATCTTTCTTAAAATAGAGTGATTACATGGATAAATGAAGCAATAAGGATAAGAGAAGGTAGAGAGAGAACCTAAAATCTCTCTGGAGTGGACAACAGTTAGACCGGCATTACACGATAAACGATCTTTTATAAATTACTTTTACAAAAGTTATACATAAAAGAAATGTTATGGTTGCAAAACAGCCTATTACACTACGTAAAATATTTTATAAACTATATATAAACTATTTTAAGAAGCTAGTGCAAATACAGCTATGGACGACGACGTTCTGGTTGCTGCCATAGCTAGTTTTACTTCGTCAGCCATTGTAGTGGCTTTAACAACGAAAAAGAAGCGACTATGGGTAAAACCGTGGATCACCCGCCGCGAGTTGAAGAGGATCTGCAATAACTTGGTCCACGAACTGGCAGTGGAAGATCAGAGAAGTTATATTAACCTTTTGAGAATGAATGAGGATGACTCATTTACGAAACCACATCACACTAGCCTCCAATATGCCACACACCTGTTTTCCCCCATCTTCACACACATATGCAAAATTTTTTATCAAATATAGGATGAAGAGGCTAAATATGATGAAAGAACTTTCACAAAAGTTTCCTTTTATAAAAGTTGGCCTATTACATTGCCACATTGCTTTTCCAACTTCTTTTATCAAAAATCTTTGTCAAAGAACTTTTATAGTGTAATGCCGGCCTTAGTCATGTTTGATACAGAAAAACGTAGGAGTTCTTAATTGCAAAAATATAATCACGTGTGTAGCGGAAAGTAACGACTGCACGGAGAGTTTCAGCTTTCCTTCGTTTGCTTCGCTCATAATTGATCGTCTTATTAAAGATGAGTTAGCTCTCTCTCTTCCTGCTGCCGAACGGCTTTGTCTTGCGTCTTGCCTCGCGCCTAGTGCAGGGTTGCATGCAGGGGTTGCCTGGGCAACGCGGATGATGCCAATGACGTAACGTGTGGGGCCTCATTAGGTAGAATTTGTTAGATATGTACCGAAATTTTCATGTTACCTACTTTGTACTAACAAATATCACTGACGAGGTAATGTGTACGAGAGAAAAGCGCGAGACAGGTTTTTTTTATACTCCAACTACCACGAAGGCCTAAGGCCTAAGCACCCATTGGGTACCGTGGGGCTATAGGGGGATACATGGGAAAGGGGGGGACGCCACACGGACTCTGGCGAGGGAACACGTGTGCATGCAATATGCACACATTCTGGCTCCGCCTACGAGAACCGCCAGGTGGTACCTCCGCATTCGACAGTCAGAGACCATCTACCACCTACGGACAATCACAACATCCATAGCCAAGAGAAAAATTTCTCCTGGGACGGGACTCGAACCCGCACAGCGCACGACGACTGATCAGGAGACCGAAGAGTCTACTACTGCGGCCACCGCTGCTGCCTGGTGCAATACCTATGTTAGAATGAGTGCGCCGTTGGCGACGCGGCAAGTCGCAGCTGCGTCCGTAGCCTCATCACTCCGGATGCTAGGCAACCTGGTGCTTATATCTGTTTCTAACAAACGTATTGCATGCTTCTCGCCCTTCTCTCTCATACATAATACGACATCAGTGGTATATATGGATCTCTCTATATGCCTATGCCTCAACCTCTACGTCGACCATGGAAATGTCACTTTACGTCATATGCTTGGCACTTATTTTGTATATTTTTAAACATGTTGCGACATGCGACAAATATGTACCCTGCTAGGTGCAAACTGCACGCGTGTGGCATTGGCATTTGGTACGCAACCTGCACCATCTACCTCTGCAACGTGTTATATTGGGAATGTACATGAAGAAGTACACAAGCAATAATTTCTAAGATTCCAATGACATTTACTCTCGATTTTAAATTAACACGACAACCTTCAAAGTGTAATTCCATGTAATCACTTCATTTTGGCGAAAACACAATATTGTACGCTTTTTAAATCCTTTTACAAGTTGTGGTCTGAGTAAACTGACAAAAAACTTCAGCTATTTTGTAAACCATGCGCACCTTGGGTGTGTTCGCGAACGAACTAGTTGAATCGAACGATTCTTGAGATCGAACTAAGTAAACTAGTTCTTCATTCCTTGAAAAGCTCGCTCACTTGTTTACTGGTAGTAACGCAGGACATATTACAAGACTTTTGTTCGTAAAGTGGTCGGTCATTTGTTGGCAACTGTGTCTGTGATTCGGCCGTGTGAATTCTGTCTAAATAACTTAGCAGAATGGAGTTTGTGTGGCGGGATCTCGGACACTATCACTGACAGGTTGGTGACAGCTGAACGAACAGGACTAAGTTCCCAATAACCCGATCGAACTAGTCATGAGTGAGTGAACGAGAACGAGATAGGTGAAAGGAGACGGAACACATCCGTAGGCAGAAGGCTGTATAACTGGTTGCCTGCAAGTTATGAAAAATTGAAAAATAGCTAAATTTTATAAAAAAAGATCAGAAGAAATTAAAAAAATTCCATCCAAAAACAATAACTTTATTGGCTTCTAGTCTATTTCTGCTGACAAGACTGCTTACTCAGCCTTCAAAAAGGCCGCTCGCATGGCACAGATCGCAAATACAAACGTTTACGTAACCATCTAATCTGGGATAGATTTTGCTCCTTCCTGGCACCACTTCAGGGGTAAATCTGGTTCATGAAAATACTTATCTCGTTCGATAATGCCTGGTGCGACTGGATTTTAAGCTACGCAAAGTTGTTTTACCTCATCGTCAGAATCGTCCAAAAGGTCTGATACTGTTTTCTTCAATTTTCTGCTTGGCTTTTGTCAGTGATACTGAAAAAAAAAACGTTCTTACGAAAAGAGGTACATCTACATATTATCTAGAGGGTTGCCTACGTTTGTATTATTTATTGAGAACCTCATGAAATGGTGAATTCAAAAAACAAAAATGTACATTATTTGAGACGGTAAGAAAATGTGTATATCTCACAGCTACATCTACTATGTGAGCGACAAAAAATACAATGCAAGGTGTTCCGAAGCGGTTACGGTTCGTTCGCGAACTAGTTCCCAGAACTAGTTCGCTTTAGTGAACCTATTGAAGTAGTTGTCCGAAATGAACTAGAAAGGACATTACTACTCGAAAGCTGCGTTCATAGTGTTTTGACTCGGAGTAGAGCTGTGTAAGAGTAAGCTGTACTTTTTTACTGATGTCCTCGTGGCGGGTTATACATCTCTCAGGGTATGTAACCACAGCCATCAAGAACGCAGTGACAAGTTCACTTCAGTCTCCGATGAATGTCTAGGGTAAAGGCAGAGTTGAAAAAGTTAATTCGGGCTGATGCTATGACCTATAAATGCACCCGAGGACATCAGTAAAAAAATACTCTACATGTGCTAGTTTCACCTGGCGCTAAGTTTCTCATACTAGACGCTAACATTAAATTTATCTAAAACTAGTGTTTTTGTGGTTTAACCAACAGTTACAGCACCATCATCAGCATCAGATTTCTAAAATAACTTTTCAAGCGAAATTATGTTTGTTGTCGTCATCATTGGGAAATAACTATCTATCTTATTTCCATAGATTGTACCTCTGGTATAGAGATAGTTTTGCGATGCTTTCATTCGTTCGTACAGATACGAGAGATCAAGCCTAAACCTTGCTGATGATGCCGAGGAGCACGAAACAGCTGTCCATGGTTGGCTGTCTCTTTGGTCGGACGGAAGAAGGCATCATGTTTAAATAACAACACATTAACAAATAGCTCTTTTACAAACGAAGAAATGGTAAAACTATCTATAAAAAAATGAAATACGCACGTTCTCAGTAATGTACTGTATCTCATCATGAACTCATTAGTACATACTACGAGTTTATCCTTTCAGCGGAATATAATAACCCAATCCCTACTTTACTCAAACTCTACTCTTACCTAACCTACTCTAAACCCACCTTTACTCCGACTCAAATACTAGCAATGACCTTGGCTATTGTGCTTGGACAGTTGACAGTTGGACGACTAAGCCGCTAGACAAAGACAAGACGTTTGCTCCTGTCAACTTATAACAATAACAATTAATAAACAAGGTAATGAGCAACAAATCTCTAAAAGTGCTTTAAGAACACGTGAGTCGTCATGTTAGGTTTCAGATAAAGCTTGTATTGTTATCGGAAGATTAGGTCAGAGTATATTTCAACAGTTGTCTTGCATAGCCCTGTTTACTTTACTCGGACTCTGAGAACATTATTATAACAATTTGGTCAGAGCCGAACAGTCTCAATAATCAAGGCAACCAAAGAATGTATCCTTTTTTCAACACGTGCCACAATATCACACACGTGATTTCATCCCCCTTTTATGCCAGCTGTTAAAATTATACCACCCCTTCCAAATCAATTCACCCCTTTTTTAAGGGTTAAGTCTTTGCCAACATTACAGTTACATGGATGTACCATAGTTCTCTCTCTTTTTGCAGTAGGTTTTTTTTAACAAGGGTATTTACCACTTGATTGACAACATATTCCAGCTTTTCAAGATGATTTGTCATCATTCAAAAGTATGCCAGGATACTGGCATACTTTTGAACTAAAATATATTTATACCAATTTTTTTTATAATAAAGAGATTCAGGAATTTGTATCCATTGCCAATGTTTGACATTTGGTGATTATTTGTTGAAATGATTAAATTAATATTAAGGATAAAGGAGAACAAAATCGTCATTATGCTACAAGACACATATAAGCAAAATGGCCAATATTATTTTGCTCTCCTCATCAAGTGAAGTCAGTATTGGAAAGGGTTGTCCCCCTCTAGTAAAAAAAGGGGTGGCACATGCTCTATCTACATACTAAAAAGCAAAAGGGTGGTGTACCCTTCTGCGCAGACAGATTTCTTCGAATAACCATTTCGAAGCCTGCGTAGAGCACTCCCCACCACAGTTTGAAGTTTTATTCGAAGGACCTTTCAGGGTGAGAGTTTCAGTCTTTGGTGGCAGTGCATTTGCTCCCCACCACTTCAGGTAGACCTGAAGGGTTTTTTGTATTCGTAGTGTGGTGAATTATGATTTCACATCCTCAGTGGTTTTGTTTTTTATCCATGGATACATTGAAAGTTGGATTTGGGTAAGAACTCTTCTCAGCAATTCTTTTATTATAATTATCTCAGAAAATAAGCAACATGTTCATTCCACATTTAGTTGCGTATTTTTGGTGAGAAAATTGCAATACTTTTTTGCATTACTACCTAGGGAAACATATAACATCCATTTGTTGAGTGGATAATAGATACCATTTTTGTAATGGCTTGTTATTGGCAAATTAATAAAGAATATAAATGTGAGAGGTCTAAAAAAGTGGCACTCTAGAGGATACAAATATTTTTGTGGATATCCAGGTACTAAATGTAGAAAATTCTATTTTAAAAGTAACTGAATATATATCACTCAGTACTGCTACTTGTAACATATTGAGACAACTCACTCCTTTTCGTTTCTATTGCCTCTTCACATAATCTTGTAGTGGTGCTTTTTTGCACAATAGGTTACATAAATTGAGTTGTTTGTTTTTAAATAAATTTCCTATAGCATACTGCCAACAATTTTGAGGTTTTACAAACTGTGGTGGTCTATACTGTACTGTCATATAACTAATTTGTTTTGAGTCACACACAGAGAGAGTATGTTCATAATGTAACGTTTTTTGAAAATTTTCTATTTGCCGCAATTTAGTATTTTGGACCTGCGAAAAAGAACGTCGGTTCCCTGACAGTATAAAAGAAATAAGCCGGTACTACACGTCATCTACTCTCAAAATCAACTATTGTAAAATATTGTATAGCCACTACCAATTGGAACTTTGAAGATCTCGGTCTGCAATGGTAGCACAGTGCCCAGTGTGATTGACATATGGCTGACAATACTACCTGCTGTACAGATGAATCAAATCCAAGCGAATAACCAAAATTTCTGTGTTATGTGCCGCGGTTATAATATGGTTCAAGATGACACACGGGTTGATGACGTCAGTTACACGAATCGCTTGAACGCAAGTTGTTTACTTTAGAAAAGCGCGTATATAATCTCTGATTATTTTTATTATCACTTAATAATCGGTGCTTTTTCGTCTACAACTGTATATGGAAAGTTTAAATAAGAAACCTTTCATAATATTCATGGGAGAAATGTTTTTTCAGATTTTGTTTTTAATGATGGAACCATGGCTTTGTAGCTATGATAACTTTCAATTCTCTAAATTTTTCCGCATGTCAAAGAAAACATTTATTAATTCAGCAGAAATCATGAAAAAATAAATTAGCAAAACCGTATACAGGTGGATATGATCTAGTGAGTTTATATGGCCATATTTTAATATTCTTGTGGTATATGGCTACACAGGATACTTTGTTAAGCATAGGAACTACATTTAAAGTGTCCCCAACAACCGTAATGAGTCTAACTAATAAGGTGCTCCACTTTATGGTAAAACTGAAGTCAGCCTGTATCATTTTTCTCAAAAATAAAGCTGAAGTACAATAACAATATCCAATACCCGGCAAAATTCTAACTTGTCACATTTCAAATAATAACCAGAAATATAAAACTAGTCTTGAGTTGGGTAAATACCACAATTTTGCGGTGATAACTAAGACATATAACAGCTGATTCGTGACGTCACGGATCTTATAACCAAACTGATAAC